TGACACGGCAGCCATCACACTCTAGATTCAACGTCCCGAGACATCATCGTCTGCAGCTCTGCTTCCATCGCCTCGCATAGCTTAACGGCTTGTCGCGGCGTGCCAGCTTGCTTTCCTCTCGGCTTCTGCCTGCATCTTGGAGTCCCTCTCATCTATGGTCTCCATGGCATTCATCAGGCCATCTGACGGAATAACTCGTTTCTTATTTTTGGTGTTGACACTGCAGAAGCAACATGAGAGTGTTGCATTTTCTTTCTTACTCCTGCCCGAGCATGTAGATCAAGCCATGAAGCCCACTCTTCGGCCGGGTCCCTCTGCGGGAGGCAGGAAAAAAGAAACAACTCATCTACACAAACCTCAGATAAGCTACCGCACGCAATCCTCTTTGGTTTCCGCCATACCGGTCTGCCTCTTCGATGGCGGGGATACAAACTCGGTCAGCAAGCCCAGATCTTGCATCACGTTGCTCACGTACACGGCTTTCAACACATACAGTGCAACCGTCACATCGTCTTGCAGTCTGCGACGTCCCATCTCCTTCTGCTAGGTGGTCTTGCAGCCTGCTTGAAGCAATTTCAATGGCCCTCTCCAGGCTCTCCTGCACCTCTGCGGCCCTATCAGCATGTCCTTCCAGACATCCGGCCCTTTTGGCTGCTCATGCTGGTGGGCTGCGAGACGAGTCCACGGAAACCAACCCTTTCCATGATCCTGTCAGCATTGGTTACATCAAGAATAGCCCCGCCAACGTGCAGCCGGCCAGCAAGACTTGCCGGAGCGACGAAACGAAACGAGCGGACAGAGCCGGTTTGTCGCGCATTCCAAACGGGGTCACAGTTCTCAGACCTCTCGATTAAATATCAGGTGAAAGCCAAGGCTCAAGAGTCAGCGCAAGGATGAAACTCCCGCGGCCGTTGCATGAGCAAACGGAGACCCAGTTGTCCCAGCCGCCTCTCCACTTTCTATTGTCGAGAACCGATCGCACGCGGCACGCAGCGCGCACAAATGCTTGACTTTTATCACGCCAGATGATGATGGGATGAATAACCCAGTATCGGCGCACTACTGATGGTTTCTTCACGTCCGAGCTACAAGCTACGTTACCGACATCGGGGTTTAAATGTCAAGGAGTCAAGTCAATATCGGTGCTCCAACACTGGAAGTCGTTACCACGGCCCACTCTGGATGCCAAAGTCGCAATTCCCAATGGACGCATCATTGCTTTCTCGCACAGACAAGGGGCCAGAGGACTACTGACGTTCGTTAATCTGAGATGCCAACGATCACGCCGATGAAGCGTGAACCGATGGCAGTCGCTGAGGAGCAGAATTACTGCACACCACACACTGTGACCCTTTGGTTGACGCAATGCTTGGAAACAATCCCACATTTGAGCGTCCAGACACTCCAAAGCTATAGCATCTCGGCCAGTCACAGTAGTACACGATGATACTCTGAGACTCTCCAATTCCAGACTCTCCACTTACTGGAGCAAGAGCAAATAACCTGCTGGCGTAGTGTACGCTACCCCAAAAATCTCCCCCATTTGCGTCTGATCGAATCAACTAGCGGGGTGAAAGGTGGTGCCAGCTGAACCCCCAGGTTTAGTAGAACGTCGCTGTTCATTTAACTCGGGGCTCTAACCACCAAACGCCTTGTCAAAGAGACGACGATATGCTACGTCCGCGACATACGGGGCTTTGCTAGCCCAATATTCTCAGCTTAGCCTGCGCATTGCTATGGATCCATAGCTGGCAGATGTCCAAAGAATGGCCAGCCCAAAAGCCACCGGGCCTTGTCCCGAGCTGCTAGGCTGCGCCTGGGCCACAAAGAGGCGCAACATTCGCCGTATCATTTGACGATCCTTCTTCAAATGGCCGTCCTCCATGGAGACGGTGCCTGGCTATCTGCGTCGGAGGCGTAAGGGTGTATGTATGCCCGGTTGTCAGCTCTCACGAATCGATAGATCGCCGACCTGCCGTTCCGCTGCGGCAGTCGATGGATCAATGAGCGCCTCTTTGGTGTTCTTTGCCGGCTCTTGGCAAATCAGTCTGCCCACGACGGAAGAGCAAAACAGCCCATGGACCTCGTATGGTAAGCCGTTGTTTGTTAAATAAGCCTCCTGCTTCATATCCAGGTTACGAGACTATAGCTGACGCGATGCATAGCGCTTGTCTTCGAAAAGGTTGTCTGGCACCCATGCTTTGGCTGGCATGAATTCAACAATAGCCCCTCTGATGATATGTTGGGTTGGAGCAAACATAGTGATGCCATGCCACAACAACAAAATCTCCAAGAGCAGATTAAGCAGCTACGGCTATTCTCTCCCGCCTTATGCCATGCAACCACGTCGCTGTCGCATGCCGCGGACGTTAACTTCTTCGGGATGCAATAAGGCTGGCTGTGGACCTGGGGCCTTGGAGTTGGGCGGTTCCATCCAGCTATTCAGCCAACTAGCTTGCAGAAGCTCGCTGCTTGCCTGCGACAGAGTTCCCTAGGGCCGGCGGAGTGGAAGCCCCGCGGATGAGCGATAGAAGATCGACCCAGCCTGTCAAATATTTGGCCAATGTCTCGCCGATATAGGCCTCGAGTAGTGGGTAGGCTAAGGGTTGGAGGGTGTGTGCTTTCCATTATCCTTCATGGCGATCTGCATCGGGCAGAAGCCAGTGGCAGCAGCAACATTGAGCTTTTCGTGCTGGAAGCTATCAATGTTGGCGCAACATCCCAGGCAGTCTGCGTTTGGTGATCGGAAGGCGTCGGCAGTAGAGAAAAGCTATTTGCTACGGCGCATACAAGGCATCGGCAGAGGCAAACACGCAGATATCGGCTTGGCTAAGGATTTGATCTTCAAAAGGGTTGTATCACTCAGCATGGTGCCCGGCATGATCCCCAGCTGAACCGGCAGGCCGTACTTCATAACTACACTCCAGTATCTCACAGGCATCCGGCCTCCATTCCGCGCCTGCTTCGTCATCAGCCAACGGTGTGGGCGCCGCAAACGGAAGCGAGCTCCTCAAGCTATCATCAGTCGGTTCATTTGCAAACGCCATCCCGACCCAACCGGCAAGCGGCTTGACGTCTCAGTGCATGATAACCATGTTTTCGCGTGCGTTAGAGTGGTGGAATTCTCCAGCGAGAGACGAGGATCCCTCGCTGGCCATGGCTCCTCGGCCATGACCTGATATTGTGCGACCGTCCAACACCCTAGCATCTGGTAGGGTTGACAGCAAGGAGATGAGTTCCCGAGGTCAGGCAAACAAAACAGATGGAAAACAAAGACTCGGCGGGATGGCGATACTTGGCTTCCGCTCCTACGCCCAATCAGCTGTCGTTTCTTTCGGATAAGATCTGGCCGGTACGACCAGTAACAAGCCTCTTGGATATTCTTTGTTCGATGCCCTCTCACTCTGACAAGTGGTTCGAGTAGCGAGGGTAACACACGCGACCTCCACTCTATGTAGGTAATCGAATGTACTCGTCTTTGACTGCGAGAGCATGCCCCATCTTCGAAAAACCATCAAAGCTTATGTCGTCTGATTTGTGTCCTAGATTTCGGTGCTTGGTACGCGATGCTCCGTCGTCAAACTACCCCAGATGCCTCCAGGCCTAGTCCAAAGCCTCGGCACCGGCAGGCTTTCACACAAGCAAGGGCCAATTGATTGCGCTCGCAGCTCCATACCAAGCTCGAACGTCAGTGCTGCGCTAGATCCATCAGGCAAAGGATCGTGATAATAAAGCTTTGTTTGTTGACTGCTTGCCTGGCATACGGAGCTTGAGCACAAGCTGACGATGACCGAGCTCACCCCAGTCACCCCGATCTAGGGTCACAGATCTCGCCCTCCTAGACATACCGTTCCCAGTTACGCCAATATGTCAACGGCTGCACCCAGGCCTCTTTGCCTATTTGTGCCGCACGGTTTACTGTACGGTATTGCTCGAGATCCATGCTCTATATCTGGGGCCCTATCTCGATACGTGCGGCGTCGGCAGCTAGTCTACGAGGTCCCTTGAATATATTACTATTAGCGGAACTAGTACAAACTGCATTTATTGGCTCGAGCTCATGGTATTGATCGTGCCCAGGTTGCTAGGCAAAACTTACTGGGTAGAGTTTGGGCAAACATGATCTCCCCTTTTGGCATCTTACATCAAAGAAGTACATTTCAAGATTTACCATGATCCGTTCAGGTTCGATCGCATCACGTGTTAACGTGGTAATACGGAAAACTCCAGAAGCAATGGTCTTCTTTTCCTCCCTCTACTCCTGGGACCCTGACCCTTCACCCCGTACCTACCCGTATTCACGTACATAAACAAGAGTAACGAGCTGTCTCATGTCGTAGCCCTCGATTCCCCCGCGCCTGACCCCCTGCCATGTCCTACACTGCCCAGGGCCCTCCTGCCACAAATTGAGAAGAGCAGGAAGACGCCAAAGGCATTGCGTCCATTGAATTGGGCTGAAAACTGAAGTGTTAGTAGGACGATGCTCGCCAGACGGGCCTGTGCGGCGTGTCGTTGGTTTTGAGCTTCCCCCTCGCCGAAACACACCATCGATGCCCTGATGCGCTATCGTGTCAGGCGGGGGCCAGCCAGCCGGTGGAAGTCTAGTGCTGAAAGTTGAGGTGAGGATAGGTAGAGCTCTGATGTGTAAGGCAGACTAGACGCGAGCAGGCTTGCTGCCGCCGAGGGCAAGGGCGTCGACGATCCTTGCGGTCATGGTATCACACGTGTTATGTTACTCTTGGAAGTTCCTGCTACGCCTTGGTACCTGCTCGTTCCCCTTTTGCGGCGGCTTTGAGAAGAGGGCCCCCCTTACCTGTGATTTTCGGTGATATTATAACCTTATTGGTGGAACTTGCTCCATGTACGCTGGTGATTCCGGGCGCAGTAAGGCCGAGATCTCACTCGTTCAGAGAACAAGGCGTTTCCGAGGAAGGTATGAAAGGAGAAGCACATGTTCCTTAGACACGTCTTTCTTGGAGACTGCCGAGCGCATAATATCATCAATGCTGATGCCACGCAGTACTCTTTGTCTCGAAAGTCTGCTCCGAGGCCTTGATGAGATACGTCTCCCCGTCAGCAGTGTCCGGCATCCCAGGCTCGTCAAAATCACAAAAATCATTACTGCCAACTATGAAACGTGAATCACTCGCCGTATTAGACCTAGACCGGAAGGAAGCGGAATGGGAGCCGTCTCCCTCGCCACCGCGGATAACGACGGCCCGGCGGAGGACCTCAGCTAGGAGCGCGATTCTTACTCGCCGACTGCTTTCGTCATCGTCTTCGTCCTCGCCGTTACCTCTCCTCGTAGTGCGAGCGTACGATGGCTGCGACGGAGGCGAAGGCGGCGGTGTAAGCGGCGGCAGAGGGAGCGGAAATACACTCCGTTGCTGGGCTTCTCGGCGACGGCAGACGAGGCACTTGCCCGGTTGGCGGAAGACGCCAGAGCAGGAGAGGTCTGGACATACATCGTCGCCCCCCAACGAGTCGTTGTGAGATCGAGGGGTGTATCGTTGCTTGTGACATGGGTGGCTTATGTGGTGGCCTTGCCAGCAGCCGCAGGCGATGTGGTAGATGTTTTCTGCGAGACACATTTGTGAGACGATTTTGTGCTTAGGTCGTTCCGTGGCGGTTGGTTATGTTGATGGGTGAGGATGTTGGCTTACCTTGGTATGTCGTCAGATTCGATCGGGGAGCGGATGGTCCAATTTGGATTTGGTGATGTGTGTCAATGGCTCTATAGTGTTTGAAAGCTTGAAGTTTTTCGAAGTCTTTGAAGAATGGGTGAGCTTTTGTTGTTTTATCACCCTTTTCCTTCTCTTAATACTTGGGACTTGACGGGACTTCTTCTTGTGATATAGACCCAAGGTATGGAAAGACGCAGACTTGCTCCTCATGAACATGGCTTCCGTAGAGCTTTGAAAGATGGGTTGTTGAAAGTTGAAGTTTACTTTGTTCAAAGAGACACAATGGCTGTGATGCTGACGAAAGAAAGAAATTGGCCGAATGCACACGGAGGTAACAATGGGGAACGAAAGAAGATTCTTCATTGTGAACAAGTCGCCCAGTTCCCCCTTGGATATCTCCCTTTTTGTGTTGGAAGCCAGTTGGCTTCGAGCATACTTTATTCAAACTATGATTATGTCTACACCTACCTCGAACATCTGAAGGCCAACCTCCTAAACGGGATGAATACTCTACTTACGAGGTGATTTCAAAAAGCGGTAGTTTCCCCTACGCCTTTGGCTCTAGTACGCAAACATTACCCCAGTTGCAGGAAGAGGGAGAGGGACAGGCAGTCTTTCACATACTCGCTTTTTGGAGAGAATCTTTGTTCTGATAAAAATATGAGTTTGTCAAGCGGCTCGGTACGGCCCGGTCTTGGTTGTTCGAGTGGGTAGCATTTGTGCGTTAACAGAGAGGTGTGAGCGGCAACTTTACAGGATTCCTATTAATAAAGGAACAGGGATTTGACTCAAACGAAGCAATTCTTGCGGAGGAGAAAACTAAGCACGATGACCAATCTAAGAGGTCATGCACTAAGTTGTGGCATTTGAGTTGGTTAGCTCTTCAATCTTTTACATCAATACTTGCTACCTTCGTTCTGGATTTATCTGGATCTCTCAACTAATGTATATGCCAAATGCCGCCGAGACCTGCTTAGAAAAGGTGCAAGCAAAAGTCTTATGGTTCCATAGTCATATCTTCATTTCTACAAATCTACTCTAAAACTCCACAGCATCATTGCCCCTCGCCAATCTTCTCTAACCCCCCAGGATAGTCTTCGCAACATCTCGCACCACACTTAATCAACCAACCTAGCAAGGTGAACACCATCATACAACGGCATCAACCAAGAATCCAGCCTCGGCTCGTCGTGCACGGCGCTGTTGAACTCGCGCAGCTTGTCCACGTCCTCGGACTTCCAGTACGCCGCGCGCTCTCCCTTCTCGCGCTGCACCCACGGGTTCTCGTCCGAGTCGTCGGCGACGATGCCGCGGCGGAGGACGTTGTCCGCGACGATGAGGCCGCCCGGACGGAGGAGACGGTTCTTGCTGCCGTCTTTCGGGGAGGAGGCGAGGATGGTGGATAGGTAGGATGGGTATCCCGACTTTTGGGCGTCGATGAAGATTAGGTCGTAGGGTTCTGAGGGGTTTAGGGTTGGTAGGCTGGGGTTTCAGTGTGTTAGTGAGTTGATATGGAAGTGGTCTCTCACAGCCCCTCTTATGCTGCCTTTCTTCTTCGTTCTCATCCGATGAAAATTCGTGGCATTGGAGGGGCCAAAAGAGTGGAAATTTGAGTCCGAGAAAGAAAACTCACGTCTCCAGAGCGTCACCGACGATGACGGACGCGTTCTTGATGCCGTTGGCAGCCCAGGCCTCCTCGGCTTGCTTTGCGTAGTCTGCGCTGAACTCAAGGCCGGTGACGGTGCCCTCTGAGCCCACGGCGTGGGACCAGACCATGCCGGAGTAGCCTACGTAGACGCCGATTTCGAGGACTGCGGAGTGTGATGTTTTGTTAGCATTGCTTTCTGAGTTTTCTAGGCTGAGTTGAGTGAGAGCCGCATGTGCCAATTCAAGGTCAATGACTCTATGAGAAGTGGCCCAGGCTAAGATGTGAGGTATTGCAGAGAGGGCCGGCAACGCCCAACTTCTTCACATAGATCTCCCCAACGTTTCACTAGAGTTGACATTTTGGCTGATTTGAGTTGAGATGAGCTGAGGTGAGTTGCCTCACAAGAGACACGACGTCGCAGGCCCAAATGCGTCCAACAACTCACAACCAAACCCACCACGTCAAACACCCTTCTCCTCTCACCCAAAACGAACAAACAAAGAGGCAAAGCAAAGGAAAAGACGTCTACAAACAACTCACTTCTCTTGGCCCCAATAAGCTTCGCAATCCAAATGTGGTTCTGCGCCTGAAAATTGCTAATCATCAACATGGACGTCTCGGGCTGTGTCTTATCAATGTGCTCGTGGTAGGCGACAATGTGCGCGGGCAGGTCGGTGGAGCGGGACTCGGAATACGTCGTCACGTTGCGCGAGACGGACTCGTTTGGGTAGAGGACCGAGACGGAGGACTTCATCTTTGCTGTGTGTTTGGCTATGGTGAAGTAGCGTTTCTGAAGCTGTTACTAATGCGGTTTCCCTTTTTATTGTGAAAGAAACCAAGTTGTTTAGTGTACGTTGTCGTTTTGTGAGATATTATGATGAGGATGAGTTGGCGTTCCGAATATGAGGTCAGGCCGGGAGCTGGTTGAACTGGATCGAGTCAGGTGGATCGCAATGGGCCCGTTCGTCGGCACTTCTCGTCAGACAAGTGTGTGAAGTGCAAAAGTTGTGATTTCCAAATAGCGAAACCAGAAAGATGAGTGAGAGAGAGAGAGAGAGAGCCTGGTGTATTTATGCCAAGTACAACGATCCCAAACAGCCTCCCCTCCTCCCCCGCCAAACGTCGCGTTGGCGTCGAGTAATAAGTCATTCTCTCCTACGTTAGCTTCATGACAAGTGACAACTACTCCGTACGGGTATCGTGTCACAACACCCCCGGTCCCATCCCGCGCGCGGAATGGGTGGACATGGAGAGCAACAAACGTCGCGCCCTAGTTCCGAGAGCTGAAGCAAAGATCGACTCCTCTATTCATCGGTGCGGGTTCCACCCCCACCTCTTTCCATCCCCCGCCTTCGGAGCAAGATGCCGGCTGTCGAGTGTGTGGTCTGAAGTAGCGTCCCCCGGTTGCGCAATCACCCCCAACTCATCACCCCCGCCAAAGCGAATAGAAGACTCCAATGGCATTTTGCGAATATTCGTACCGGACATAAGTGAGATAAATGGTAATCAGTTAACCTGCCTACTCGGCCGAAGTCGCCATGAAAGCTCGGCTCGGCGATTGGGTAGTTGAGAAGGCGTGACACGCAAGTCAGTCTACTTCATTCGGACTTACTTCTTCAGATGATGAGGCGCTTGGTGGATCTATCTTTACCCAACCAACCGCAACGAACTGCTACAACTTCCACGTCTAGAAATTCTCGGGCCTGACACACGGCACTTTTGGGGAGGAGGGGTTGTAGTTAGTAAGGTAAGGTAACTTCGAGTTCGGCCCTTCCTTCCGCCGCATTCTTGCACCCTTGGGGAATCGCTACCCTTTTACTTCAGAGTACCTTTTTTGACAGGTGTTTGTTCTAACGGGAAGCTTATCTTGCAGTTTGAGAGAGAGGAACGAGCAACTTTGCATTTGCCTGCACGGCATTTGCAAACTTCGGATTAACCCGTACCGGCCGGAGGGAAGAAAAAAGAGTTGGGATGAAAGGTAGTTTTGGAAACGGGTTACAAACGCGCTCGGTGCCGTTGCGGCGGGACGACCAAGGTATCTATCTGCCTACCTACTCCAGGTGGTCCCGAGGTTCCTTGCCTTACCTTACAGACCACACCACACCATCCCATTAAAAACGCCGTTTCTGTTTCGGGAAGGAGGGGCGGTTCCGAGGGGCGACTAAGTGAGGGGCGACTAAGGTGATTCTTCAGTGACATTCTAAACAACCACACCGTAAACCCAAGTTCGTGACTATCTGCGCAACGTCATTTGATACTCGGCGTATCTCTTGAACACATACCATGCTCCCCAGTTGCGTAGTCTCTTCTCTCCTTAAGCTCACTTTCTCATCAGGGCAGATTTTAGGAAGAACAAAGTGGTTTCCAAGTATTGTATTAAGGCGTGGGAACTTTAAAGTCTAGTGACTCAAATAATAACAAAATTACACGACTAGAAATTAAAGGCCCTCCGCGATATCTTTGGCAACAAGAAGACGGGGCGACAGGAAGTTACTCCTGACAAGATTAAGACTTTTGTTGCCAAACTTCCACGCCGAGGGCTGATGATTCCCATATGCTTCTTCCACTAATAACTTTTCCCTCCCCTTTTCTCTTCCATTCAAGGGCAACGGCCACTCAACCCCATTTATACGCTTCATCTCGGAAGAGCCAGAGGTAGAAGTCTGCCATACGCAGTAAATGCTTTTCAGTAGCTACTCTGCAGTAGGGCATACCCCTCCCTGTGGCCCCTCTCAGGCTTCTTCGTGGAATTGTCTTCTGTTAGGTCACAAGGACACTTAGAAGAAGAAGGCGGCGACCATGAGAGCACCGGCGAGGGTGAGAGGTGTCTTGACGTAGCTGCCGCCAGCGGTGGCGACCGTGGAGGGCTTGTCTCCAGTGGTGGGCGGCTGGGCGGGAGGCTGCGCCGGAGTCTGGGTAGGAGGATGCGCGGGCGGCTGAGCAGAGGGTTGAGCTGGAGGTTGAGAAGGAGGCTGCGCCGGGGGTTGAGCGGGCTGCGTGGGAGGTTGCGCAGGGGGTTGAGCAGGAGGCTGAGAAGGAGGCTGCGCAGGGGGGTGAGTAGGAGGTTGAGAAGGAGGTTGAGAAGGAGGTTGAGAGGGAGGCTGAGAAGGAGGTTGAGAAGGAGGCTGAGCAGGAGGCTGCGCGGGAGGCTGCGAGGGAACAGTGGCAGGCTTATTCGCAGTGACGGTAGAGTTGTGGTAACGGACTCTGGTGACTGTAGGGCAAGGCGTGCTCGAGGCCTGAGGGGTGACAGGAATAGCCTTCTGCGAAGACGCGACGACGACGACGGAGACCGAAGACGCAGGCGGCACGGCGCGCTGGGAGGAGACGACGACAACGGGCTTGGAGGAAGAGGGAACGACCTTCTGCGAAGACACGACAACGACAACGACAGAGGTCGAGGCCTTGGCGGTCGTGGTGGTCTTAGGCTTGTGAGAAGTCGTCACCTTCTTGGTGGCCGAGGTGCAAGGGGTTGTGGCGTTGTGGCGGCGGCTGGAGGTTACCACTAACTTGGAAGAGGTCTTGGGCTTGTGGGTGATTGAGGACTTCTTGGAGCTGGAAGAAGACTTGCAGGGAGTGGTCGTGGGCTTCTTAGAAGTGGAAGACACGCAGGGAGTCGTGGTCTTCTTGGTTGAGGTGGTGCAAGGTGTGGGCGTAGGCTTCTTGGAGGTGGTGCAAGGAGTCGTGGTGGGCTTCTTGGAGGTAGAGCAGGGAGTTGTGGTCGGCTTCTTGGAGGTAGAGCAGGGAGTCGTAGTAGACTTCTTAGAGGTAGAGCAGGGCGTCGTGGTAGACTTCTTAGAGGTAGAGCAGGGCGTCGTAGTGGGCTTCTTAGAGGTAGAACAGGGCGTCGTAGTGGGCTTCTTGTCAGTCGAGCAAGGAGTCGTGGTAGGCTTCTTGGGAGTTGAGCACGGGGTAGTCGTAGGCTTCTTCGACGTGGTGCAAGGCGTCGTCGTAGGCTTCTTGGAGGTAGAGCACGGGGTAGGCTTGTGCTTCCTGGTGGAAGTGGTGCAAGGGGTAGTCGTGGAGGTGGTCGTGCAAGGCTGGGTGACGGTGACGACCTTTGTGCTCCAAGTCCAGGTCGGCCGGCCGGGGCCGGGCACAAAGACCCGGGACACGGTCGTCTCGAAGACGGTCTGCGGGTCTAGTGGCACGGCGGGGAAGTCGGGCTGCGACGGCTGCCAGCCGGCCGGACGAGTCGAGGTAAGCATCTGAGACTGGGCCAGTCCGGAGAGGACGGCAACGGCAACGGCGGTGACCCTCATGATGTCTGAGAAAGCGGGTAAGGTGGGAAACGAGAGAAAATGGTAAAAATGATTGACTGAGAGACGAAGTGAAAGGTTCCCGCCTTCCCTACACGATGAAAGTGAGCGAGTGACTGATGAATCGGATGAGGATGAGAGAGGAGATGGTCTGGAGTCTACTCCTCGACTCGCTTTACTTATAACCGTCAGCCTGGTGGCCTTTGGCGACCTTGATCCTTGATGGTTCCTCATGTCTGCATGGCTTGTTGAGTATCGATTTCTCATGATGTCAGAAAGAGAGTTTAGACCGGATGGAGCAACAATCAGACACCGGGGCCCAACGTGAGCTCTGTAGTCCTCAGGGTTGTGAAGCCATCGAAGCATATGCAGAAAGCTTCTTCCACTTAAGCCATTTGGAACACAAGCTCCCCCCTTCCTGAAGATCAATGGAGCCAAATACCGATGGCAATAAGTCAAGGTTTGTTCTCTTCAAGCCACTGGAACCTCTGCGGAATATCTCATGGCGCCGTTCTGGAGCTGGACGACTAGACCAGATTGCGAATACGGTCTCCCGTGAGAGATACGTTGGCTTCGGCGAACAAGAGCACGGGACGGCGCGAGTGGTGGAAGTCTTTTCACCCGTTGCTGACACTATTGGCGCTCACTGGACGATCTTGATGGAGAAGCTGCATGTTTGAACCTGTGCTTGAAAATTGATGAAAACGCTTGGGTACATATGGTGGCGGGACCTTTATCGGACCTCTACTACCAGTTGAGTGCCCGCCATTCGCTTTTCGTTACAATCCTGCAGCGCCCGTATACCTTTGGTCATGATATTCGACACCCACAACTTATTGACTCCGATGAGCGGCGTCCGTTGTTGGAACTCGAAAACGGAAGAGTGGTGATTTGTGCACCTTGACGGAGCTCTCGACGCGGGCGAAAAGCCTTGCGCTTGTTGCTTCCAAGCTCTCCTGAGCATCTGCAATCTGCAATGCTCAGCTTTATGTGTTCCGTGTCGGACCTTGCTCGCTATGTATGCCTTCTGTCGACTCCATTCTTTCCCACTCTCGGACACGCTTCCCAGAACCTAACGCCATATTGCCACGCATTTTAGTACTCGGAGTCAGTGAACAGACCGAACCGCATCCGGTGGCTCTGTGTCCATTGTCAGCTTTAAACTTTGTACGTCTAATGTCAATGAGGGGAAAACATACAAAAGGCAGCTTGGGAATGACAACTGCTAGCACTGCCAAGAAATTGATGCTGAAGTAGGCGAGATCGTAGTGCGTGTAATGCGTGCTGAGGAGGAACAGCACGATTGGCACGCTGAGCAAAAACTTCTTGGCGGGTGTGTATTGAGCCCCATCGTCGATTTGTTCCCACATGTTCAGGTTATCAAAAGCACCGCCGTTGAACTCGAATGGCACGCCGCGAACGTAATGGAACATGATGTAGGATCCAAACATGTACGAGATATTCGTCAGAGTCCAGGATGTCTCCTGTGACACGCCCGGCATGACATCGTAGAATATCTTTAAGCAAAGGATGAGGACGAAATGGATTGTCCAGGCGCCTGTCGACGATGATTGTCAGCTCCTGTTTTTCTACCTCCCAATGGGACTTGATGGGCTGGCACGCGACCAAAGCAAAGGAAATGGAAAGGGGGCATTGGATAGCTTCCAATCAGGGAGCTTCGCGCGGGGCTCACCTTTGGCATTAACCCAGTTCGCATTGAGGTTGGGCACGACGGCCTGGTCGCTTATCTGCTCGAGTGTCTCTTGCGGTTCGTAATGGACCTGGAGGATGCTGCTAGATCTCCTTCTGCGGGCACCGGGTTCCGCCATTGCTCTGTACGATCCGCTGCCACTTCGCGGAGGATTTGTGGCCGCGTCGTACGAGACGGTGCGAGAGAGGAGGATTGGGGAAGACAGTTTGGCGGTGTTGGAGGGGCGTTGGGGTGCGAGTTGGGTTTTGCGGGTGGAATGGAAGAGGGGAAAGTCTCTGCGGGCTCTCGGGATCGTCGTCGGCGTCCTCGTGATGCTGGGGTTCGGCGGAGTGATGAATTTGTCGTGTGCTGGCGGCCCCCTTGATGATGTCACGGGGAAAGCGAGCAGCAATTGACGTTACGTTGGGTTTGATGTTGATGCAGGTGTTGTATATAGGAGATGCCGGGACTGAATGTGGTTGAAATTTGATGGAAGCGAGAGTAGAGAAAAAGGTGTCGTCGGGACAGTCGAAGAGAAGCGAGAGCGAGATTCTGGCTGCGAATGTTGGGGATGCCGTCGTCGTAATAGTCTACTTGGCAATGGGATGAAGGAGAAGATGGGACATTTTCCCTTAGATATTCATAGTAAGGTAGCAGCAGCAGCCAGCGGAACGGGGGCACTCGACTGGGGGGTGGAGGGAGGAGGACAAAAAAGAATGGGGCCCATTGGACAGTCCCCGACAAGGCCACGGCACAGGGCCTCAGGTGCAGGGCAGCTGCGCGTGCAGGCAATGGAACCAGGCACAGTGAAGACTCCACTCATCCACTCCTACCCAGCAAAAAGACACGACAGGACAATCCTGAGATTGGGATCCGAGCCGACAGACAGCTGCAGACAGCAGCAGTTGCCTTCACCTTCCCAGTCCCTGGCAGCCAGTGCCAGCCGACACGAGCGTACCGAAAGGAGGACACATTGATGCGGACGACGGGCGTGGAGCCAACCCCGGTCAGGGTCGTTCAGGGGACCACCCCAATTTCAGCGGGTACGGAAGACTTGGAGAGGGGAGGGGACGGCTGGCTGGCTGGGCAGGCCAGGGACGGAGTTACATACAGTACAAGCACTGGCAGGTCCTGATGGGAGAAAGAGACGGCACTGACTGGATGGACGGGACGCAGAGACTCCGGAACCAAGGAGGACTGGACGGAATTGGACTTGGACCAGGGACTCCTCAGTTCACAAAAGGGAAAACACAGCAGGAAGCAGGGCAGGCATTCCCGTGTCTAGGAGCCATTGTAGGTATGTGCGGATGGCATGGCATGGGAAGGAAGCCCATCACTCGCAACTTGCAAGAAAGAGGCTCTTGCACCTTATCGCCTTGGCCTACCTAGGAAGCTTTTCCTCCAGGTGCGACATGCCCAGCCGGTTCACACACCCGACGAAATGTTGCTCGATTTGACAACCTTCTTCCTCCCCCACCATCGAAGAAGAAGAAAAGAAGGGACTCTGATCGTTGCATACAGATCCTCCCCCAGCTCCCACATACAGCATACGACATGCGCACAACCCTGCCGAGAGCACGGCACCACGGCTACATCAAGCACTAGAAAAGATCCAATACCTACCTACAGCACCGCGACGCGTCCCGCGGGAAGGGCACTGATGGCCGACGTGAGCACAGCCAGCCAGACAGACGGTCAGACTCAGACCCAACATGCCACTGTCCCGCCGCACAGATATCCGTACTGTAAGCTCCCCTGTGTTTCCTAGCCTGGCCAATAGTGTTGCAGGAAGAGTAGCGCAGGACGGAGGCCGGAGCAGCATGCGGCGTAGGTTCACAGGCGCATTTGCTAGCGAATCGGGGGCAGGAAGGGGTTTCCCTGGCTGAGTTTAACTAGGAAGATGCCCCTATTTCCGACATTTAGTGACGGCAACTCGGTGGTCAATGGCCATTGGGGAGGATGAGATACAGCAAGCAACAAGCACACTGGCCAGATGTGGAAGCACACTCACACCCATTCGGATACAACCGCTGGATCGACCCTATCACACAGGACCACCCATATACGCGGCATGAACATGCCATCCAGGACTGAAGAGAGGCTAAGCTTTGTTGAGTCGGAAAGGAGTACAGCAACAGCAGAGCAGCACGATCATATATGGCCTTCCTGTGCCATCTTCTCGTCGCCTCACATCATAACATGGATCACATCACACCTGGGGTTCCTGGCATCTGGTCATCATTTCCAGATTTGCGTACGGGGACGGATGGAGGCGCGCAAGAAGGACGATGGCGGCATGGACCCTCCTCCCCAAGTTGTCGATGCCGTCCGAGACTCCGTATTCTGTACTCCGTACCTGGCTTCCCCAAGACATACGGTGTTGCTCGTTTTCTTCCCACCTTACCGCTCCTCGATTTGACAAAAGTCATCGTTATCTGAGCTAAATCTGTCGTCCTCGGTCTCCACTAAGCGGGCTGTGCGACAACTTATTGCCTGTAGTGGTTCGTTGCGTTGCGTAGGATGGACGGATAGGCAAGAAAAGGAGACGTGGAATTCCTGGACATCCGGCATATCTCACCGAACCACAAACTGCGTCACTGATGGAATGCCAAAGTTTCCTGTCCACATTAGGCCCGACCCCTGGTCACGTCTGCCGATATCGAACTGTTGCAACCCCCATAGGACTTTTGTTTAGCCAGCTGATATTGTAGAATACGTGAATACTAAACTGCAATCGAGCCCACTATTCATTGCAGCTTCAATACCCGCGGATAAATCCGTGGCGTGTCTTGCGCCCGAACGACGCGAAGTTCCAACACGCAATGCCGTGGCCACACTTTGGCAGAAAGCAGCAGATTCATGAGACCACGATATGCCCGTTCAAAGATGTCGCATAATACCATACCTCTCCCATGGGCCATTCATTGCCCCCCTTCAACTCTTGCCCCAGTTTGTGTAACTCGTCCGCCTGCTATTGTCGACGCTTGGTCCAGGTGGCAGGTGTGCAGAAAAGATCTAGCCTCATTTCCGACCACCAGGATCTTGTTTCTACTTTTCTCAGTTCTGCGGGTTGCGGGTTGGGTGTTTGTAATTAGATGGAAATCGATAGGCCCGAGGTGCCAATTCTAGAAGCATTCACTTTCGCTTCCGAGTTTCTTCTTGCAAAATGACACCGACCAGTCCGACACCGCCTCAGGTGGGCACCGGCCTGTAATTAGTGAAGGTCCCAGGCTTGACAGGGCAATAAGTCGGCCCCCCCCCCTGGTTAAGCGAGCAGAGGAGGGACCTGCCTTACATAATAATTGAGGTGAGAGATACCGATTGGCACTGTGTCGTGGCCCGCACCTCTGAAAAGTCGAACACAAGGTCTCTAAGGTACGGAAAGACGGGACCCGGCAGCGTAGGCAGGCCGGCAGGCAGAGGCAGCCGCAGCCAGGTGCAAGAGGTCCGGCGAGTCGGTTTGGCAACACAGCGCGGTTATTCTTCGGCCGGCCGTTTTTTGTGACGTCTGGCCTGCTGTGGGTACCCGACAAACAACGCTGCATACCTACAATTTTTGATCAGACGAAACGGCGGCCTTTTCCTGTTGATGCCGAACGACGTCGAGCGATACTGGCCGGTGAATATTCATTCATTCTCACTCAAGCACTTCGACCGCTTGATTCGAGCAAGTCTATCCGCTAGCGAATCTCTATCGGATCGGAATTAGGGTTTCTTGGCGCGACCGAGCATTGTCATCCTAAGGCAAATCGCGAATTCTCATGACCTTGGAGTTGTGATTCACATTCTCATCGCTGGACACACGAATGCGAACCACTTCAACTTGAGCAAGTCATCACATCTCTTCCGAGTACAAGCACGGTTTTCAGTTTTCCAACACCTTACTCTTCCAGGTAAGGTATTGGAGAGGTGTCGACTTTTGGTCCGGCGTGGTATATCTTACAGTACACCGCAGTCACTGGAT